AAACGATCTCTGAGCTGACCTGAGGGATCGGCTGGGCGTGTGGGGGTGCAGCAGCTCAGAGAGGTAAAGTGGGGCAAGGCCATTCAAGGCTTTAAAAGTAAATAAAATAATTTTAAAATGAATGCTAAGATGGATGCGAAGCTAAAATAGGTTATATAGGTGTATGTAAACTTCTGACCTGGACTCTGTTTTTACTTTATGGAGCATTTCTCTTTCATTCTGAAGGATTTCTGCAGTTCGTCTTTCAGCTCGTTATGTTTCCTTCCTTCCTCTGGTTCTGGATCCGCCCCAGTCTGTAATGGTTCCCCCCCCCCAGCTTTCCATGAGGTCAGCTGAAGGAGGGGGCTCGTCCCGTGATGAAACACACTGATTGAGTTTCACAAGAGCTCCCTGATCTAAGAATTGGCATCCCAGTGGGCGGCGGGGGGGCGGGCTGAGCCGTTACACAAGCCTGGATCAAGAGATGGTCTCATTGCAACAAACTAATAAGGCCTAAAAAATAAAAATAAAACAGGAGGGCGAGGGATGGAAGAGATCCTCCAGAATGCGTGTTTATACTGGTCCCAGTATAGCTTCTCCAATGGGTTAAAGTGGGAGCCATACCTGCTGAGACCTACGGAGTCCGACAGGGTTATGATTTTAACTATGGAGAGAAATTTGATCCAAAATTATTGCAAACAAAGAACATGTTTAAAGCGAAAAAAGATTTTCAGCCTAATTGAATTTTATACAAAATTTTACCCAATATTTTAAATTTGTCATATAAAATGACTCTTAAAACCTTGTTTTTTTTATGGAAAGCTTTTCAAAGTTCTAGTTTGATTAAAGGAAAAGTCAGATCAGCGAGGAATAATCAACGTACAGACGAGACTGGAGGGGACACCAACAACTTTAGCTTTTTCCCCCTTTTCCGCTCATTTACATTAGCCAAAGCTAACAGAGGTTTAGTGCAGCTATCTGTGTTCAGAGTGTTTTTTTTTCCTCTCACGCCTCTAGGTGTGACATCATCGGATCTGTCACTT